AGATGTGCTTTTTACAAAAAAAAAAAAAAAATAGCAGCTGTATTAAATTTTCCCTCACCAAGAAAGCAATCTTACCAAAACAAAACCTCTATGGAAACACAACCCCGATGGAAATCAAGAAGATGTGAAGTTTCTAACTAAACGAATGTTACTGACAGATCTCAATACCACGTTAAATCCTATCAGTGCTAACTCTGACAACTTCAACAAACTCTTTGGCTACCCTGGAATTTAGCTTTTCTGTTCCAAATATTGCCTGAACTAAGCCCGTGACATAGGCAGAGATGGAGAGAAGAAACAACTGGCTTCATCTGTTTTCTTCCTAGCCACAGACAGTGGTAGCATGACCCCTGCTAACAAACCCTCCCCACAGGACAATACTACATCTGTGCGGCGCCTCTCAACCCCAGCCTGACACCGGTCACCTCAACAGCCTCCTAACCCATCTGACTCTCCCCACTCTGGACCACCTCTCCCTTCATCCCTTCTGCACATGCACAGCCAGAGTGGTCTTCCCAAAGCAGAAAGCCGATCAAGTCACTCCCCCACTTCAGAGGATTCCCCAGTACAGTTCTAGAAAGAACCGAGGCTCATGAGAGACTGGATCAGCTAGCCCCCCTCAACCCCACTATCCCTATACCCCACACACAGCCACACTGCAGCACCAGAAGGCCCACGACCTCAGGCCCGTCTGCCTCGCTGCTCTCCACTCTCCTTTAGGCTCATTTCAACTGCCAGTTTCTCAAGGACACCTTCCCTGCCTCCAACCTCTGCACCCTCGGTGAAGTGTCCTTGCTCTGGTCTATACTGAACCAATTTCTGACATTCATAACCTCTAAGGAGGCAAGTACATCTTGCTTACTGTTGTATGCCTACCTCTCTCCCCTGGACACTCACAACGTGTCTGTATGAAAAACAAAGGGATGCATGGGTCTCAAAGGAACAGACAGAGCTGCTCTCACTGCCCCACAATCCCCTTTTTCTTTTTTTTTTTTTTTGTCTTTTGTCTTTTTCCGTGTCCGGCTACGGATCGCAACCCTCAGTGTTGCCCCCGTACCGGACCGGGGACTGGCAACGGGATCGCAACCCTCGGTGTTGCTCCCGCGCCTTGCTCAGCCACTGAGCGGGAACCGGTCTGTACGTGGGATCCGAACCCTTGGGCGGGAGCGCTGCTGCGCTTCCCAAGTGGCGCACTATCCAGTGCGCCACCGGGCTGGCCCACAATCCCCTTTTTCTGCAGAACTGTCAGCAGAGGTAAATCCGGCCACTCCCTGCAGATTTTTTAGTCTCTCTAGAAGTTCTGAATTCTTACATATACAATTACTGGAATTATTAAATTGTAAGATCATTGAATATGCTTAATGCATATGGAAAAAAACAGAAGCAAACTGTGTTAAAAATAAAAATATAGCATGAAGCCACAGTGGCAAACAGTTTACACAAAATTCGAATATGAAAAAATGCCTTTAATTTGTCATAAATTTGTGAACAGTGAATTTCAAAGCTATGAGCAACAGAACTTATCCTCAAAAACTTGGATATGCTCTCAATACATCAAAGAGTAACCTTTATGTTATTATTCCTACAAGTTAAAACACTGAGTTAAAGCAACTGGAATTAAGGATTAATAGAAAAATTAGTAAGAACCTGTTAATCCCCTAATGCATAATAGTCTAAAATCAACCATAGCTAACTCATAGGCAAAGATCTGACAGTGTCCACTGATAAAGGGAAAAGCATCCTCTCCTGAAGTTGTATGAAAGCACCTAATACACAGCCTCGAACACTGTAACAAAAGGCATTCAAATTGTATTTCCTTTCTGCACTTAACACTAATTAGAATTCAATTAAAGACACAGTCTGTACTATTTTCATGACACTTCATCAGATAAAAGATGAAAACATTTAATATTTTTGTGATTTTGGTACTATTTATGTAGCTGATGGAAAACAAAAGCTTGGTATTATAGTCTAAAAAACAATTTACATGCAAAGAAATTTACATATGAAAATCCTGAGAAAAGCTAGATCTGCTCAACAACAGTTTGTAGTTAAAAGCAAAACGAACTGCAATAAAGGCACTCTCTTTTGGGGGGGGCGGTATTATATAGTTTTAGAAGTATTTGCATAGTTCAACAATGGCTTCCGCCCATAATTTTGTGATAGAATATTTTGGGGTAGGGGAGACTTTCAATTACACACATGATATAAATGCAATCAAATAAACATACTGAAAGGTGCCCAGGTGGTATAGCTGAAGCTCCAAAGCAGATAACCTGAAGTTGTAAGAGAGCTCTAAACAGAAAGTAAAAAATGCAATACTTAATCTCAGATGCTTTATGAGCCATTAACTGATACTGCCTCTTGCCTAATGAAGAACTGAAAACAAATTGTTAGTGTTGATCATCTCTATCTAAATTTTTTATGCTAAAGTTGGATATTAAAACATAACTCTATAAAGAAAGAGCTTAGGTTTACCCTGCAGTTTATATCACATTCTGCTGAAAGGAAGCTTATCAAGGAAGAACTGAAAGTTTTCACTCAAAGTTGAGAAGTATCTAAGTTTTATTTTGCGTATGTGCATTATTTGCAACCATGTCATTGTGGAAGTGAAATAAAAAACTCTCTCGCTGGGATGTAAAACACTTTGATGCTACCTAACCATCAAAGGACTCTGAGCTTCATGAAGTAGATCTGCAGCACTTAAGAAATAAAAGTTTTTCTGAAAGGCTCCAAAAGTGATCTACTTCACTGTTTCAAGTACAACAGGGAGGTAACAGAATTACTGGAGAGAAAACACCTTCAAAGTCTGACAAACCTGAGTTTGAATCCTACTACATCTCTTACTAACTATGCGGTGCTGGACTAACTACTTAACCTCTCTGAGAATGCTTCCCGCTCTGCAAGATGGGCCTGTCACCACCCACCTCAGATGGCATCCATGTAACTTGAATGAAATATGTAGGTTGCCCCCTTTACAACCGCAGTATTCCTCTAGTACTAGAGCCTTACACACAGAGCTGAAAAAAGAATTGCTTCCTCAATAGTAACTACCAGTGTTCGTAGGAAGTTTTTCTGTTGGTTTTTTTGTCTATTGTTTTGAAAAGAACTACTCCAGAACCACCCAAAAGTCCTTCAATTCCCATCACCTCTGTCCTCCTCCCCTATCCAATCTGCTGTTTTGGTCCACAGGAAAGACAGTCCATTCAGCTGGGGATCCCCCCCCCCATGCCTTTCTCCCCTTAGTCAAGGATGAACTGGACTCCCAGCCAACTCCATCTCCTAGACAGACTCACCTCATCCATCCTGCTGCCAGAGCAAACTTTCTAAAATGCAAATCTGGCCACCTCATTCCCTTCAGATTTCTTTAGTAGCAGTCCCCACCCCCAGCATCTTTAAGATA